TTGGAATCTAGAGTTGTTTGGATAGACAGAACTTATTTCAGTGCAGAAAATTGAAACTTTCTGCGCGTTTATCTATTTATCGAGGTGAAGAGAACTAAAAAATTGATATGGCAATAAAGTTCAGTATATATATCGCCATGATTTTTAGCGGCATCTTTTCTTTTTATTCATACAAAGTGGCATGTTAAATAAATCGATCATAAAATGATGTGCTCCAAACGTAATGCATCTGTATTCTCTTTCGCGATATTATCATTCACTCAATATATTGAGTGGAAATACAACTCTAACAATTAAAACTATGGCAAAAATATTAAATAAATAGTCTTAAAAAATTGATTTCTACACTTATCTGGATCTCGATATCTCGTATTCTATGGACCCATTTGACATCATGAATCTACTACGGTGGTAGGTTACGATAGCATTCATAATTTTCAAAATACTGTTTCATGGTAATGCATATTTGATTAGAAAAAATATCTTCTTTCGAGTAAAATATCAGCGTCCATATTTTACGTTATAATTATCAAATATCATTGAAACAATCTAGTAGGTTCGTTTTTAAATATTTTACAAAAAAAAACAAAAAATTAAACAACCTAATCCTCATGAGAGATCTGCAAGAACCTTCGAACTCTGGCGGTTTCGGAATCGGAGAATTGATAGAAATTATAGAGACTCCGAAAATGTTTTCTTATTTTTTCCGATGCAGCATGGTGGAAATTATTCCTAACTGCAGTTGTATTTTAAGATTTTTTAGGTACTAATTTAACATAATCGTACTCTTTTTTAATTAAATTTAGAATTTCATCTCGGGACAAGCGCTTAGCTGTTAACGCAAATATATTTGATAGACAAACAAAAATTTGAGATTCATTCAATTTTTATTTTCTTGTCTTACACTCAACATATCTGTTTATTGGCTCATAATACTATTGAATGAATCATTTATGTATTGAGTAACTGGAATTTGAGTAAATAGATCATTCGATAATTACACAAACCCTGTTACTAAGGCTAAAATGATAATCTTGGAATGTTGCATAATGGAGTGTATATGAAATAATAAATGGTTTTACAAGTGAAAACGTGATGCCTAAATGATCCCGAATCAGATTGAATTTGTGATATTACACTGACCCTAGGTTACATAATGTTGCAGTACATGTAAGTTGTCGCAGATTTACGAATAATAATTTTCAGAGTTTTTCGAAGTCAAAGTTAAAAAAAGCACGACTTCACAGGTCTCTAATCCTCACTCTTCACAGTAACTGTCTAATATGCATTTAATATGATTAAATCAATTGAAAAAATTCGCTTTGAGCTTCTATAAACCAAACGCGACATAATCATTATTTGCTGGCACATATTTATAACGAAAAATTTGATCAAACCAAACCAGCTTAAATAATGTCAACGTTCATATCGTCAAATGAGAAAGAATAAGCTTTTTATTGAATTGATAGTCCAATTTGAGTATGAAATAAATGATTCTTATACTCTGTGGAACTTTTGTAGCTTTGTAAAGATTTAAAAGTTCTTCCATTAAACGACAGCGAAATAGCGCGGTGCCTTTCATGACCACAACAGAACTAAATAGTCTGCAATAGTTTGACATCTGAACTTCATTCAGTTATATGTCAAAGTAATATGTAAGTTTGCTTAGGATAACAAAAAACATTCACTGAGCCTCACCTGATTTTGAAACGTTCCGCCGCCCCTGCACATTTATACCTATTAATTGAATTGCAGGTTTGAACGATATCTTGTCTTTCATATATCTCTTTCAGTTGGCTTTCTGATGTACAACTATTCGATAATTCTTTTCTCTCCTTCTTCTCCTCTTTGATGTTTTTACACGTTTGATCTTATGTGCTTTTCGATGCTAAAGAAACTATAGATACTGAACAAGTAAAATGAATTTAGCACTAACTTACATCGATTATTTTAAAATTTTAATTAGGTTATAATTACATAGAATTACAATTTGTATTGTTAATGACTGATTTTTCGATAATTTGTTTATAACAAAGAAATATGGAAAGGAGTAATGACTACAACAATTACTGTATCACCAACACCAAAGTTGAAAGAAATAAGAGATGCAATAAATGTATGAATAAGGAATAAGAAACTAAGAGAGATAGCTGTTCATTTTTTGAAAATTTGAGGGAAGTAAGTGTAAATGAAACAACATCGTAAATCCACATCTTAATAACTTTTTGTAACTTCTTTTTGATATCAATGGTTTGCTCAAACATAGAATAAAAGCCGAGAAGATCAAAGAGATACAAGATCAAAAGGAGCGACACATTCAGAGAAGAATAAATGAATAGTTCCTATACTAGCAAGATGATTGAGAAGATATATGAGAGAAGAAATATCGCCCTTAGTAGCATCAAATTATTGCGTGTCCACCTTTCATACCTATTCGTGACCAAAAAACATGACAAATATCGTCAATTTACATACTCATTAAGATAAATTAATTATTTCAACAATACGTATTAGAATAGTAACTCATACAAAAATAAGAAAGACTTGATAAAATGAAAGACTGACATAATTCTCTGCATCAGTAATAATAGAAGATGATGTTTTGAACATCAAAAAGATAGTTTTCACATTTTCATATTTATCGAGGTCTATCCCTAAGTATTTTATTTTTATTTAGAGAAACTAATATTGTTTTCAGGGGTAAAGTTTTCTTACTTAATATAGTATTTTTAAACTCGTTCGTGATAATAAAAATCAGGTTTGTCAAATATTCTTTAATAAAAGACAGCTTCTGAATGTTTCTTGACGTTTGGATTTTTGTGCTTTGTATATTTTCCTCTACATTTCGAACTTCTATATATCTCAGTATCCTGAGTAACTTAAAATATAATTAAAATTCATCGTTAGAATAGTGCTGCACTTCAAATAAAAATGAACAGTAATTCATTTTACGAATAATTTTATAGATATGATTGAGTTTGTCAAATTCAATTTGAACACACTTCTCAAAAATTGAATGAGCAAACGTTTGTTTCATAATGATTCGTGTAGTATACATTGCGATGATAGGAAAGAAAAGAAAAGAAGTAAATGGACAGATGGTGATAAAGTATGGATCAGTATCTGATTGGTTCATCTATTCTATGTGAAGTGAGGGTGAGCCACATTTCTTTGGCTGACACATGTTTGGTTCACTTCTTACGACCAGTTACAGGGATAAACAACAACTTTCTTAAATACGAATCGATATCCGATAAACAAAAAACAAAAATAGTTATTCACAACAGATTGATAACATCGTAATTACTAATTGGTGTAGCTGACAGAAAACGTCCAAGAGTACGGATATCATCGATCTGTAGAAATGCTAAAAAACACCTTTTTAAAATAGATAATGAAAATTATCAGGGCATGACGGATAGGTGATATTTAAAAAAATAATTCGGGCGTCATATAATGTACGACAAATATTTCAAGGTGAACAAAGATCCATAGTTTATTTCATAAGCCTTTTCAATCAATAAAACAATTGGTTAACTAAAGGTAACTGTTATTTTATTACAGTTTTATACGGTGTAATAGAACTTCACTGATGAAGTATTCATCAAAATATAGATGAACTCATCCTATAATTGGCATGCTATTTTTCTAAATTAGAATTTTGCATAAGAATAGATCTAATCACTTAAACTTGTAAATTAAATTAAGATACTATTCATCATATGACTCCTATAAAAACTTAACTGAAAGAAAATTTCTTTTGCTGCTTTGTTTTCAGATTGAAAATGACCAGTGAACAACAAAAACGTGTTTTAGTGACTGGAGGTACCGGTCTTGTTGGTTTAGCAATAAAATATGTTGTTGAAAATGAATCGGATCAAAAAAAACCAAATGAAGAGTATTTCTTTATTTCTTCAAGTGAATGTGATCTTCGGTATAGTTTAAATACATATATATTTATTAAAATAAAAGAATTTTCTATTTTCTTACAGAAATCTTGAACAAACTGAAGCATTATTTAAAAAATATCAACCAACTCATGTTATACATTTAGCTGCACTTGTTGGTGGTCTCTTTCGAAATTTAAGTCGTAATCTTGATTTTTTCGTAAGGTTTCAAAACATGTTTTTTCATTTTGTTAACGTCTTGTTATGATTGGTTTTTCTCAGCGTGATAATATGCATATTAATGATAATGTTTTATCTGTTGCATATCAAACAGGTGTCAAGAAAGTTATATCTTGCCTATCAACTTGTATTTTTCCTGATAAAACAACTTATCCAATTGATGAAACCATGGTAATTATATAATTTTTTTTAAAAACCACGTTTAATTCATTAAAAGAACATCATAAGATCATCGATTATATGAAGCACAGAACAAAAAAATTGTCCTTTTTTCTGCATTCAATAGATCGATGTCTGAATAATACTAATTCTAAAATTTGAGTTTATAATTGTGTTTTTTTTTCAAAAGTTAGTTAATACATACCTTTGACCGCTTTCATATCC